TGCTGCTGCTGCTACTACTACCACTGTTCATACCACTACCACTACCACTACCACTACCACTGCCGCTGCCACTGCGACGACGACGACGACAACGGCGACGACCACTAATACTATTGCTACAGCGACTAGTAGCAATAACAGGCGACAATAACAACAATAGTCTTCCTCCTGTTGCCACTACCGCTACGGCGACAACTTCGAGTCGTCAACGCACGTGTATGACTCCCTCGGCTTCTTTGGTCCCGCTGAATCAAAAGCGTTGTGGGGTTCCTTTCTGTGAGATGGACATAAATTTTCGGGGATCCGACAGACAGGACCCATCTCTATATAGCTACCCACATGATTGGAGTTTTGATATGCTGGCCACTTGCAATCTCACTAGGCCATTCAACGGCAGTCGTGCGGACAAGTGGCCCTCACGAATCTTCCAGCTGATCCTCTCGACGTCATCATCTATGCCTTGCAGTGGTTTCTGGGAGTTGAGCCACCTCTCTGTGAATTGCAGGGCGTGTTTGGATCAGGAAGTCGAAGACTGCTGTCCATTCCGGAAAATTCTTGGAGATGCGAGGGCTAGTTATTTGAATTGACGAAAGTGAGGATGGTCGTCCGAGCAAGATCCTCGTGGACGATGGCCTCGCAAAGCACGGCCCAAGCCTGAAGCCTCAGAGCGCGACTTGAGATAAGATGCAGGTGAGGTGCTGACGACGTATGTGCCAGCTGGGAAAAACTTCATGATGAAGTTGCGGGACTCCTAGAGGTCGACATCGAAACTCGGCCACGCTTGCTTCAGAACTCTTCGCAGCTCGGACGCACAGAAGAGCATGATCCATCATCTTCTCATGTGAGCTATGCTACGTCTAGTAGCATGAGCATATTGACACCGCCGCTTGTCCTTGTTGCCCTTCACAGAGAGCTCGATGCGCACATTCTCCCACTCACTACCGACCAGCGCATCCCTGTAGTTCTTCCTGCCAGAGCCCCTAAACCCTAAACCCTAAACCCTAAACCCTAGCCAATGATCTTCAAGGCCAGGTGTATGTAAACACATGCGTAAAGAAACATGGCAACGATCTATGCACTTTGATGTGGAAAACTTTAAGACCGGGTGTGTCTAGGTGTAGCTGTACATAGGGAACATGTATATGTGTCTGTTCACTATGAGTGTAGGACATAGTAACCCACATTCGCATCGGGAATCCATTGATTGCCGCATGTGGTGTGGGCTTACTATCACCGAGGAAGCTGCCGGACACAGGTTTCTTTTGAAGGCTCCTGTACGGGCTGTGGACTAAACGGCAATAACAACTACTAGCAACAGCACGACACTGTACAAGAACTGTTGCAACAACTACTAGTGCAATGACTTTTTTGCAAGCTTTTTTAGAGTCTTGCCGAGTGCGCCTTTAGCAAGGTTTTGGTCGCCTTCGTTGTAGCTACTCTCCACCATCGCTGCTCTGGCGTGATGCTTGCTACATCTGATCGTTACGGGCCTTGTGCTTGCAAACATTATGCTGAACCTGCCCACTCTCTGTCCTTTCGGTCTCGTTGGCCACGAAAAGCGTCACACGATGCTTGGGAATCCGCTGTCTGGACAACATGGCCAGGGTGTGCACCAGGATGAATGCAGACTTGCACCCTTTGAACCTCAGCGGGACATGGACGTAGGAAATGGTAATGGCAACAGAAAAGGCAGTGCAAAGCCGCAGGCGATTGTAGTTCTGTCTCAATAATTTAGATAACTCGGTTCGTCCCCTTTCTTATTGCAGGTGGTGCTGTGCTGTCGACCTGTTCATGGATGCACCCCAGCATTGCGTGTGGGACTTGCCCGGCCTCTTCTTGTTGCTCATCTGGCAAACTGGCATCCAGCGTTGGTAGGTGGGGATCACCAGCTGATAAGGGACCGGTCGCGCCTCAGCGCACAGTACCCTCCAAGAAAGTGTAAACCCTACGGTTTGTTGAAGCGTAGATACAGGCAGGATCCCACCTTTCGGCATGATTTCGGAGCGACATGCATCACGATGGGTCAGGCGTTGCCTAAATCGTAGTGGCCGTAGCGAAGCTGTCTGAGCCTGTCAACTTCGCACGGCAGGATGCTCCACGTACATGCCCCCTGTAGTGATTCAATAGACGCAACCAAATGCTCCGACAAAGGCCACGACCCAACAACCCCTAAACCTGTACCCCTAAAGTCCAAGCCCCAAATCCTCAACTCCGACCCCACCGAAGTCTCCCCCTCCCCCTCCAAAATCAAAAACCACAAAAAACCCTAAACCACCGAGTGCAGGGCCTTGGTGACCAAGTGAGGAGCCTGTCGGGCCTTTGGGTCGAGCTCCTCACAGATAGGGGGGCCTTAATGATCAGACTAGGGTTTTGAGGAAACTTTTGCTATACTTATAATAAGGAAACCCCGAAATAGTATAGGTAATTATTAAGGCCCCCCATATTAATCAGGATCGGGGTTGTTTTAAAAGGGGGGCGGCCTCGGGCCTTCAGAGCTTTATAGGGGTTTAGGGTGTAGGGTTTATAGGGTTTAGGGATTAGGGCTTCGGGTTCAGGGATTAGGCTTTAAGGGGAGTTTGGGGCTCAAGATTCTGAAACAGAAGCCTGCGCCTTTCCGGTGCTCAGAATCTCCTTCAGGGTTTCAGGGCTCACCTTGTTAGGGTCTAGGAATCAGTAGGTTTTTTTTTTTGAGGGCGTCGTCTTTTCGAGTGCCAGGGCTTGTATAAGGGTGTCACAATTTGTATTGTTTGAAAAGGCGCCCACTAGGACTTCGAACAAGTGTAAGAACAGCCAAACAGTTCGGCCCACATGTAATTCACCACCAACCCGATAACTCCACAAAAACTTACGCAACCCTGGTGTCTAGCTTCGGGGCTTCAGGCGCTGTCCAGGGTTTCAGCACTCACTCTCGGATATGGCTAGGCGAGGTTCCTGGCACGACTCGAAAGCACATTGGCTATACGAACGGCACGTGTCACCGCCCAAAAAGCATTAACGGTCCCTAGCTCAAAGCTGTCCAGGGTTTAGGGCTCAGGACTCTTTTAGATGACTTAAGGGCTTACGCCATGAAGCTTTTTCGATTACTTGGAGGTTCATGGGTAGTTATAAGTAGGGTTATAAGTCCCCTGATATGGGTTATAATTATAGTTAGCTTACTTATAACTCCACTTATGACTACCCATGAACTTCCAAGTATTCAGGGATCACCCTAGGCTCGGACATAGGTTCTTACGCACTTAAGTTGCGGGGTTTGGTGCTCCGAAGGAAGAACCGTGACCGATTGCCCGGTATCACAAGCACTTGCTGATCATTTTTCGTCCATGTTTCTCAAGCTTTGAGAATAAAGCTGAAACCCCAAGGCGTAATCTGTGCGCGCTAGACTCCAAGCAAACCCTAAGCCTCAACCCTCCTTGGCGGTCGCCCCCTCAAGCTTCATCAGCCGTTCTTCCCACTTCCTGAGCTCCGTTGCCCTGTCTCGGCTTGAACCCTGAAGCCTCCAATTAAGGAGCACACCGGAACTGCGTTTAGAATCGGTTTAAGGCATGATCCTGAAGACGGGGCTCATGTCGGTTCGGGGTCTCGATTAGAGAGTTTAGGGCTAGGGCTTAGGGTTCCAGAATTTCAGAATTTGGAAAGACATTCTAAGACCCTCATTGACGCACGTTCAGGGGTTCATAGCCTCAATGGTCCAACCCGAGATTGTAGAAAGGATGAGACAGGTGTCCTGCAAGCTTTGTTTTCAAGTCCTGAGGCCCTAAGGTCAGGATGGAGGGCTCGGTAGCCAATTGTACATGCCATGCTGGCTAATTCCATGATGCACGTATAATGTATATATATATATATATATATATATGTGTGTGTGTGTGTGTATGTGCATAAACCTACACATATCCGTACAGTTCCTCATACTTATTCCTTAGCGCTCCTTACATCTATAACTGTAGAGTAGTCTACCCTTGAACCCTGTTCGACTAATCTCGCTTGGGGTGTCGATCCCGCGCTCTCACCCCCAAGAGTACGCTCCAGGGCTCTCGAGCTCATCATCGTCGCTATCCTCGTCATCCGTGGACCTTAGCCGGTATGGAAGTGGGGGCTACTTTATCGCTTACGGCTGAAGGCATCGCACTGGTGGCTTTACGGGTCACGGTCGAGTAGCCCTCAGGGCTGAATTACAGAAGCTGCGTCTGGGAATTGCTTGTTCTGACGGTGTACCGGGAGCCAACCCTCTAAAGCCCGAGCCTTCCTCGAAGGGGCCTTTATTAAATAGAATAGGGTTTGGGGATGTTTGGGGTGTAACTCAGTATAGCTAAACATCAAAACTCCATGGGAGACGGTTCAAGCTTCTATATTACCATGTCCGACGACTCAACCAAACTCGCTTGGAGCCCGGAGCTTACCATCATATATACAACCCCAAAAACACAGACCCAAATGCTCGGCTGCCGTAGCTTAGATGCCTACCCGCTGAATACCCACGGCTGCTGACTAAACACACCTTTGGATCTGCGGTAGTTGGGCTGTTGCTCTCGGCTCTCAAGCCTAGAACAGCGCCTGCCTCGGATCCTCAACCCCTCTTTAACTGACCAACTACTCCCGAACTCCTGAAAACTCCCTGCCCCCAAACCTCGAAAATTCACGTCCCCTAAGAATCCCTACCTCACATCCTGCAGTCGCGGACTCGGCTTTGCTTCACATGCAGAAGCCCTGCGACATCCTGTGAACCCAAACCTGCAGACAGCCCAACTTCTTGTCACAAAAACTGCAAAACCCATAACCATGTTCAAAAACGAACTGTAGACTCGACTCGATATGAAAGCCCTTGTACAATCAATCACCCACAAACCTGTCTAAAGCCTCTTTTTAGACCCGTTTGACACATGAACAAGTCAAAGCCATAAGTCCCGAGGCCTATCAACCGCAGCTCAGTACTTGGCTCCTCGTCACTCTCGTCCGGATCCTCTCGCTGCGGTGCCGGCTTCCGAGACGAGGCCCTGTGGCAAATTGTGTGGACATATATATATATATACACACGCACCGATAGAGCAATACACGCATATATATATATATATATACACACATATACACACGATATACCTACGCACATACAGATACACATACATTATGCATATACGTATGAAGGCGTATTTACTAACATGTGTTCATTCGCTGAGTTCTTTGGTTTAAGCTGTAACTGTCTTGTCGGTGTGGGTATGGTGTTTGCTGTGTTTGGGGCGGCGAGTGCTAGTGGGTCTAGCATTCGCAGCAACGGACTTCCAGAGCTTTGGGGTTTGGGGATTTGGGGTGGGTGTAGCGAATTTGAACGGAAGCTGTTGCTGTGATGTGCAAAACTCGAGCATTAGCACTTGGGTGCTTGGCTTCGGTGGTGAGAACCCATGGGCGGTTAACGACTATCTAGGTCCGTTTATGCCACGATAATGCCCATTACTTGGGACATGTTACCCCAGTTTGAGGGTACAAGGGTAGGGTAGGTGACTTCGCACCTGCGTCGGCGCCTGAGATGGCACGAGTTGCTTGTGGTACTGGGAACGGGGGAGGGGTGAGATGACGTTCACGGCCGAACGAGTGTCGACTAAAGTGTTGGTGTGAAATCTGCACTCCCAGTTATCCAAAAAGCCCTAATATAGAAGCCTAAATAATTACCTATACTATTTTGGGGGTTCCCTATGTATAGTATAATGGGCCCCCAAACCCTATTCTAATTATTGTTAAGGCCCCTATATTAAGCCCCCTTAATGAACCCTATAAACCCTAAGCCCTTGATGAACCCTATAAGCCCCGAGCCCCTTCATTTTGGAACCCTCTCCATGCACCTGTTCGCCCCTCGGCTCGCGCGCTTCTGGGGCTTTCGAGCGGAGGGTGCCGCCTTCCTGGCAGGCGCGGGTTGAGGGTTTATAGGGTTTAGGGTTTAGGGTTTAGGGTTTAGGGGTTTAAGGGTTTAGGGTTTAGGGTTTAGGGTTTAGGGTGTCCAAGAAGGGTTTTAGTGTTTCTATGGGTTTATAGGGTTTACAGGGTGTAAAGGGTTTACAGGGTTGAGGGTTGAGGGTTTATAGGGTTTTTGGGAATCTATAAAACTAGACCCGCCTTCCGGGCAGGCTGCAGGGTTTATAGGGTTTAAGGTCTGTAGGGTCCTTAGAGTTCAGAGGGTTTTATACAGTAGGGTTATCGGGATTAGGGTTTACAGTGTTTTTCTGCGCTTTTGGGCTTTAGGCCATTTTTGCGACTCGCAACTCCATAGACTTCAGGCAGGCCAGAAAAAACAAGGGAAGCTAATGCAGAGCGGCACGAGAGAAAGTCCGGTTTTAAGGGCTTGGGCCCTGGGGGCTGTAGGGTTTGGTCGGGCCTTTTATGTGGCTTCCAAGGGACAAGGACTGTTTTCGTTTTTTTAATAGGGAACTTGGCATGTGAGGAGTCGTCGGAATTAAATGCCTGGACCGATGACAAACAGTACCAGCTTAGGCCTGCTGGGGCTGCTGGCTCTGTCAGATGGAGCATGGCGGCTCCTAGAAACCTTTTGCCCAGTTGCCTTTTCGCCGGTCGGCTTTGCTGTCGGCGCAAGCGTGCGCGCGCACGTGCAACCATCGATGTTGCGGCCATGTTTGCAGGAGAACCTTCTTTGCAGACTTGTAGAGTTAAACAGACAGTGCTCACAACCTCTGTGCCAGTGCTTGTTGTATCTTTCTGCCAGATTGTTGCTGCCTCTGGTTCTGGTCTTCCGTCCTGCCATAGTCACAGGCTGTACCTAGTACTATCCTGTTTGAACTGCATGGAGCTTATCGGTATAGCCTTCTCATGAGCCCGAAGTTAACTAATAGTTTTGATCATGCCCTACGCTGTAGAGCCGACAATGGCACCACAGGTGGTATGGCAGTGACAGCTTGCAAGGAACGATAAGGCTCGTGTGGCTTTCTGTGCCAGCACGCGACGTCGTGAAGCTCTATTGGCACCCCCCCTCACCGCTGCCCCTTGCTGACCCTATAAAAGTTGTTAGATGTTGTTAGTTTTATAGGTTATGATGTGGCTGCTCGAGCCCGCAACTGACATCCGGAATGCTGGTGCCTGAAGTCGGGAATCAAGAGCTTGGCAGGCCGAGTAATCCTGGAGTGCTGCAGCTTGAATTCTGAGGGGCAGACATAAAAAAGACTGCGAAAGCACAGCATGTAAACAAAACCGGAACTTCCAAGCACATTGGAGCTCCAACCGGCTCTGCTCAAGTATAAAGTGCATCGTGTTTGCCAGGAACATGTACCCAACAGCATACGAGTTGCTGAGCCGTAGCTCTCTGAAAGCCTTTCGTTCTTGGAGGCTTAGGATCCGATCTCCTACAGGGCACCTGTAAAAAGGTGCAGGCAAAACCCAGCACATTCTGCAGTCTAAACATCAAGCTGGTGTGGCTCGCGCGTGACCACCCTGTCTCATTCAACAATACGCGCAGCCACACGCACATCGACCTCTGGCTATGTGTATATATGTATATATAGATATATATATATATATATATATGTACGCAATGTACACAGGCATATGCATACCTTTGCATGCATACATATGCATGCATGGCATACACGCATACATACAGACATACCAACATACTAAGTTACATACATACATACTTACATACATACATACGTACGTACATACATACATACAGACAGAAAACAGACAGACAGACAGACAGACAGACAAACAGACAGACAGACCGACCGACGGACAGACAGACAGACAGACAGACAGACAGACAGACAGACAGACAGACAGACAGACAGACACACACACACACATACACACACACCGCCCATAAATCTAATCTCCACCTGAGAGCGCAGCAGGTCCTTGACTCAAACCAGCGTCGCAACGGCCACTCTGCTCCACAACATGATGCCGATCTTTACCACCCTGGGCGCCTGGCCCTCTCGAGCGTATTTGGGAGCACTCTCCTGCTTTGATATAGGGGCCATGAATGATTAAAATAGGGTTCTTGGTATATTATACTATGATTATATTGAGGAACCCCAAAACCCTGTCCAAATGATTAAGGCCCCTACATTATGGTTCTTGTCATTTTGCAACTATACTAGTTCATTGCTACCCAGTTGTTGAAGGGCGGGCAAAGCTTGATAGCGTGTCGGCACCCCTTGTGCACAGTGAAAGATGTGCAGACTCTTACGGACACAGAGCACCCCAAGCACAGAACACAAGCAGTAGGATTCTGAATAGCTTAACTTTAGGAGCCCGCGAAAAGAAAACCATTTTTTAGACCCCCCCTTATTCCCCTGCAGTCCGCATTGAACAAAACCATAGTCCTCAAGCATAGAAGCCTCCAGGTTGTTCTTCCGGCAAACCTGCAGCCGAAAGTTTGTGCTGGGGATGGCTGTTGCCATGGCAGGCGCGACAGTTATCGGCCTGGAGGACTTCCAGGTGAGGCATGCTTATAGGTTTAGGGTTTAGGGTTAGGGGTTGGTTTATGGGTTTAGGGTTTAGGGGTATAACCAGGAAGTTTACACCTTCATGAGGACAACAGGTTTCATATCGCGATCGATAGACAGACAGATACGGCCTTCTGCAGATATAAACGAACGAGCAAATACATGTATAAACAGAGAGAGAGAGAGAGATATATATATATATATATGCATATGCATATACACATAGATATACAGATATGTACTTACATGTTTGCAAACACGGATTTTTCTTCCGTAGAAGGTTTCAAGGGGGCTCCGGCTTCGACTTCCGAAGACCTCCTTATTCTTGAAGGTTCCTCTGATAATCAACGTGTCAAATGCCAGAACGGGATTCCAAGTAGTGAGGTCCCCTTTTCTAGAGACTGTGGAAGTTGCCAGTTGTCTCAGGTGAACCGTGGCCACCTTGGTGATGCGGCCGCGCTGCTGGCAGCGCTCCTTTCTTCCGTGAACATCCTCGTCGTTACTCAGCATGCTACGGAGATATTTTAAAGTTGCCCTTATCTAGACTCAGGAACCTACCATTGTGGAACTAAGAGGAACTTACGTACGAGCATTCCGAAAGTTATTTTGGGGCCAGCCTAGGTAAAGCAGCTCCGCCATCATTTTGAGGCCCCCACGATCCTCGGCGATGCGACAGGAGTATGATTTTCTTCTCCAGAATTGGCCCAAAGCCCCAGCACTCTACCAAACCCTGAAGTTAAAAACGCCCTAAGCTCTTAAACCCTGAGCTTACAAGGAGCCACCAGTCGGAAGACCAGAGCTCCCACTCAGGATCATGATGTGCACCTGCGGAATTGGCAGCACCTTCTTGTTCATCCTCCTCCAGGTACCTGGGCTCTTATTTTTGTGAAGGGTGTTTTTTTATGCGGGGCTTTTAGGGCTTTCATTAGGGCTCTACGAGGGCATTCGGGTTCTTGTAAGAAGCTTGGCTGGTAAATGGCCTGCTTTCGTGATGATGGATCATGTTCCTTAACTACCTCTATATACCGCCCTGATCAAGCTACAGAAAACCCAGCGTATGGTAGTTGAGTTTCAGTTCCTCAACAAGAGCCCAGCCTGAAGCCTGCACGCTTGATCCTTAAATGCTAAACCCTACTTGGAGGTTCATGGGTAGTTCTAAGTTGAGTTATAAGTCCCCCGAATGTAGCTTATATCTATAGTTACCCTTCTTGTAACCCTACGTATAACTACCCATGAACCTGCAAGTATCCAGGTTCTCGAAGATCAGGTCTTTCCCAGGACTTCAGTGTCCTGGTGGGCTGTCCTTTGCTTGGCCCTTTTTCCTCAAGCGCTGGGC